TCTAGTGGGAAAAGTAGATAACATTAAAAGTACAGTGGATCTCGCCCGGCCGGCGTGGCTTAGTGGTTGAGCGTCAACCTGTGAACCAGGAGGTCATAGTTCAATTCCCGACCAGGGCACATGCCTGGGTTGTGGGCTCGATCCCCAGTGGGGGGCGTGCAGGAGGCAGCGGATCCATGATTCTCTCTCATCATTGATGCTTCTATCTCCCTCTCCCTCTCCCTTCCTCTCTGAAATCAATAGAGATTTAAAAAAAAAAAAGGCTAACCCAGAAAACAGCACAACTGTATACAGTTTACTGAGCTGCATAAACAGACGCTGGACATGTTCACAAACTTTCGCAGGCCAGGCCAAGCCCAGGGCTGGGCCGTGTGACTCATGGCTGCTCACTGCATCCCTGCACGGCTGTGCCTGCTGTGGTCTATATCCCAGGCCAGGAAGACTCCCCCTTCCACCTGGCTTTCTCGCTGAACACGGGCAGCGATGGGGGGTCCTGGGTCCCCCTACAGGCTCCGAGTCCTCTGGGTCCTAAGCGCAGTCTCCTCCGTCACACCGCGGTGCCTGTGTCTGTGCAGGCTCTCGCGACCCCTGGGGCGGTGGGACGGTACAAACATGGCCTGGGAGCCCCAGCCCGTCCGGCTCAGTGGTCAGAGCATCAGCCCGCGGACGGAGGGGTCTCGGGTTTGATTCGATCGAGGGCACGTTCCTTGGCTGCAGGCTCCGTCCCGGCCCCAGTCAGGGCACGTGCAGGAGGCAGCAGTCTCTCGCACATCGATGTTTCTCTCGCTGTCTTGCCCCCTCCCTTCCACTCTCTCTAAAAATCAATGGGAAGAAATATCCTCGGGGAGGATTCTTTAGAAACATGACCTGGGAGCCCTGGCGACAGCTCACAGCGCAGCCCCGAGGTCCCGAGACCCCGAGGCCCCGACAGGCCCGGCCGGCCGCTGGGCGTCAGGGGTCAGGAAGCAGCGGCTGGGCAGGTGCCGCATCACCTGGGGATCAGCTTTGCTCCCCCACTCCCCGCTCCCCCACGTGGGAGCCTGGGGGCAGGCGGGAGTTCGGAAGCCATAACGTTTTAGGAAAGAGTGAGAGCTGGAGTGTGGTCCGACCTCCGCTTCTCCAAGGCTCGCTGGCCCTCCACGCTCCCCCGTCGGCCTCACGGTGCTGTCTCGTCTCCCCCTGCGTCCCAGACGGGGGAGGGGTGAGGGGTGGCCGAGGCACTTGCCCAGGTCCCAAGGCTCACGCACACCAGTGCCAGGGACCAGGCCGCTGCCCCGCCCACGGCCCACGTGCCTGGGTTGCCTGGCTCTCACAGGCGGGTCTTCCGGTCTCGCTCTCCAGGAGGCAGTTCCCGAGACTGCTCACTTATCAACCTTTTAAAAAATATATTTTATTCATTTCAGAGAGGAAGAGAGAGGGAGAGAGAGAGAAACATTAAAGTGAGAGGGAATCATTGATTGGCTGCCTCCTGCACGCCCCACACTGGGATCGAGCCCGCAACCCAGGCATGTGCCCCGACCGGGAATCGACCTGTGACCTCCTGGTTCATAGGTCGACGCTCACCGACTGAGCCACGCCGGCCAGGTTATCAACTCTTAATCAGATCACGGCCCATCTGTGTGTGTGTGGTCACCCCTGTTCCCCGAGGGGGTCAGGGGTGGGGGCACGTGCTTTCGGGTAAAAGGAGCTGAGTGTTGGGGTCAGGAGCCGGGCCCCCCCGCCTCGTCCTGGTTGTGACTTCGAGTCACCCACTCTCGCCTGTGGGCTCATCTCCACCGGAAGTGACTGGATTTCCCAACGAGCTCCCTCCCACCTCAAACCCAATCCTTCCCAGTTGATGGAGGGAATCCCTTTCCAACGAGAGACGGTGAGCCCTGTGGATGAAGAGGCCGCAGACCGCCCCTTCTTCCGGTGCGCCCGGCGTGGGCCTTGCTCTGAGCCTCAGCCCTCCCGTCAGCTGTTTAATAGGAAACAGCGTGGGCAGGACAGTCGCCCTCTGTCCCGGACGCCGGGAGGATCAGCCAACAGCGAGGACTCAGGGCCCATCGGGGCATCGTGTTTAGGACAGAAGTGCGCTTTTCTTCTCTGGAAATGCAGTGTGTTTTTCGCACAGTAAACAGACGGAAGGAGCAAGCTCCCCCTGCGCAGGCCCCTCTCGGCGCTGGGGCACCTGTCCTCGCCGGGCCGTCTGGACTCCAGGCCAAGCCGCTGAGGGTGGTCCCTGCGCCTCCTGAGCCCCCCTCCCTGCTCCCCCCCCCGCCTTCCCCCCCCCCCCCCAGGTCAGACCCAACACCTGGCGTCGTGCTTCCGGCTTCTAATGCAGAGATGAAAGCAGACAAACCGTTACAGCTCTTCGGGGAGTAGCCGCAGCATGTTCTCTTTTTAAACTCACCCCCCACTGCCCACCCCCACCCCGCACTGTGAGGAGTCGGTCAGCTCGGGAGGCGGAGCCGCGTCAGAGCCCGGCATGTGCACGGTGTCCCCCACGGCGGGCCTGTGCCTGTCGGGAGTCGGGTGGCTCGTGTACAGACGGTGGGGTACACGGGAGTTTTGAAAGCATCTGCTCCCTCTTGGTTTGTTAGTGTAAAACCGTTCTTATCTGTTGGGAAGAGTAGGGTCCCCACGGAGCTTTGCCTGGTGGGAAGGGACTGGATTGGAGGGGCTCCTTCGCAGCAGCCGCACGGCCTGCTTCACACAGCACGACGCTCCCTTTAAACATCTTACCATTTTACCTGCTGTGACACGTCGATAAAGCCAGAAATAGATGCATAGGCGATCAGTCAGTCAGTGAACTGAGGCAGACAGCCATGCACAGGAGGGAGTTCACAGCCCCGCCTCCGCCGTTTCTCTCCACTCGCTCGGATCTACTTTGTCCTGTGATGTTTCCGTCGGCTTCTGGTCTCCCCTTTAGTTGTCGTTTTACTACTTTATACGGCTTTGAAGGTTGTCTGCTTTCCCTGTTGCATTTACTATCTTGCTAATTTTTTTCCTCAAAGAATCTCTTTGTTCATAAATTTGGGATATGCTATTTTCCGTATATTTATTAAAGTAAGTGTAATTTTTAAAAGAAATATATATTTTATTGATTTCAGAGAGGAAGGGGGGGAGAGAGAGAGAAAGAAACATCAGTGATGAGAGAGAATCAGTGATTGGCTGCCTCCTGTATGCCCTGCACTGGGGATGGAGCCTGCAACCCGTGCTCTGACCGGGAATCGATCCCAGGACCCTTCAGTCTGCAGGCCGACGCTCTGTCCACTGAGCCACACCGGCTGGGGCGTACGTGTAATGCTTAACCCACGGCTCACATGCGCTGTTGGGTAAGTGACACTGAGCAGACTATGTGTCCAAAACCCTAAAACCAGGAAGAAGCAGGCTCCAGACCGAAACCCAGACTTCCTAACTGGAAACATCAAGTTCTTTGCACAAAACTCACACATCGCTTGCTTGTTTGTGTTCCGGTTGCTCAGACTTTGCCAAAAACCTTTGGCGGCCCTGTCAGCGCGGGTGAGGTCTGTGTGCTGATCGGCGGGGCCCAGAGGTGAGAGACCGAAGGCCCAGAGGGTTCCTATGTCGGCTGTTCCAGAAGCACTGAGATAAACTCAGCCCCAAAAGAGAGTCGTCGGTCACGGCTGCATTCTATCCCTCGTATGTGGTCCCGGGAGAACCGGTTCCTCACCGGGGCCTGGGGCGGGCCTGGGGGTCCTCACCTCTGGCACATGTCTGGGGGGGGGGGGTCACCTGTGTGGTTTTCTGGGAAGAAGATGCCAAGATTGCATTGTGTCCACGAGGGTCCTGTCCCCAGGAGAGTCGAGAAATATGGCACGCCAGCTCGGCCCCCTCGGCGGTTACAGAGAGCAGGGGCGGCCGCGAGGGTGACTCCTGGGGCAGGCGTGTGCTCCGGGCAGGGTGTCTGTCCTCCACCCTCCGTGGCCCCCACGCCCACGCTGGCCCGGGCGCGGCAGCAGGCATGTGCTCCGGGCAGGGTGTCTGTCCTCCGCCCTCTGTGGCCCCCACGCCCACGCTGGCCCGGGCGCGGCAGCAGGCATGTGCTCCGGGCAGGGTGTCTGTCCTCCGCCCTCCGTGGCCCCCATGCCCACACTGGCCCGTACGTGGCAGCGTGGAGTAGTGCACTAGGAGCCGCGCTCTGTCCCCAGGTGGGTGGGCTTAGGAAGAAGGAAAGCAGTGTCTCAGGGCCAGCGGTCGCCAGCCTTCCGGGCCTCACGGACCACCAGCGTCTGGGCCGTGGTGTCTTGTGACCGCCCCGGGGGAGGTACGTCCGGCGGGCGGTGAGGGAGGGGACAGCTCGGGCAGCGTGGGTCTGGGAAGCTCTGCGTTTCATCGCGATGCCCGAGCTCACTCTGAGCAGACGTCGGCCGGGCTGGGCAGCGCGTGCTGGGACGGAACTCAGTCCAGCTGCAGTTCCCACCCGGCCGGGCCAGCGGGCCAGTGGGTTCGCTGACCAGCACAGCCGGCGGTGCTGAGGGAGCACTTGCCGATGGGAGCGAGTTCCAGTCTACAACTATTTTCTTAGAAGCTGAGCCCTGTCCGCATGGCAGCGCTCCCCCCAGTGAATCGCGGAGCCTCCTCCTTGTGTTCAATCGGCGCCGGGGAATGGACCACAAGCAGCATCCCTCTCCCTTCCCCGCGAGCGTGTGCGCATCTCCCCGTCGCTTTCACTAACCTCTGTCTTCCTTGCGACTCGCTCCTGCCCAGGGCACGTGGGCAGGGAATACAGGTTGTGCCGAGACGGGGGCTTGCAGGGGGGCCGGTGGGGACTCGAGCCTGCAACCCGGGCCTGTGCCCTGACCAGAATCGAACCGTGACCTCCTGGCTCATAGGTCAGCGCTCACCCCCTGAGCCAGCCGGCGGGCTCGGTCAGTGTTCCAGTTTAAAGGCCAGGGCTGCTCTTTCCTGCTGGGGGCTCTGGCGCTGGGCTGGGCGAGCTCCCTGCCGCTGCTGGACATGGCCTGTGGGAGGGCAGTTGCATTCGCTGTGGCTGGATGTCGGGCAGTGAGACCGACACGAGAAGCAGACGCGTCTCCCAGGCCGCATCCACGGCGAGTCCACTGAGCGGCCGTGCGGGCTTTAAAACAAGTTCCCAGGGTGGCCTTGTCCCCGAGCCCCCCGTCCCTCCCTGTGCAGACCTTGCCCGCACCCCTCAGAGGCAGGCTGGTCTCCCGGAGCCCCTCCATTTCCCTGGGACGTGGTAAGGCCGCGTGGCAGACGTCGTGGGAGAAGCCGGGCGCCCACGGCTGCAGGCGGCATCGCTGGCACGAGTAACGGAGCTGCTGAGGCCGTGGCTGCGGGTGGGACGGAGCCGGGCGCGGCCGGGCCTCCGCGTGTTCACCGGGCGCCTGTCTTGCAGGAGGAGGGCGTGGTCAAGGAGATCGACATCAGCCACCACGTGAAGGACGGCTGCGAGAAGGCCGACCCCTCCCAGTTTGAGCTGCTGAAGGTCTTGGGACAAGGCTCCTACGGGAAGGTGAGTCCCCTCCGCTGCCTCCGAGCGCGTCCCGTGCACCGGCCGGTCCCCTCACCCCGTGGCCGGTCCCCTCGCACGCAAGCACTCGGGCGTCTGCTGACGGGGAAGGGGGTGGGGATGCCCCTGAACACGTGGGAAGGCGGCCCCGGCTGAGGGGTGCCGTTCTCAGGCGCCCGCCCTGGGCAGGTCCCTCCTGACGGGAACCGCACGCGGGTCAGAGCTGTGCCGAGCGGCACCGACCCCGAGAGCGCCACACGCTTCCTCTCCTCCGCCACCCCGGCTCGGCCTCTCCCACGGCGCGTGGCCGCTGGGCTGGAGCCTGGGAGAGCGTGTCCTCACCAGCGATTTTCTAAAAAGGAGGAAAACGAAGCGAACAAGAGACAGAGACGGGAGGTGGTGCCTTCAGGGGGTCGCTCGGCCGGGCAGGCTGGACCGGCCTGGCCCCCCGCCCCCCACCCACCCCCTGCTCAGGGAATTGCCTCTGTGAGCCCGTTTCCCACCCGTGACGTAGGGATAGAAGCTACTTGACGTGACTGTTCTATGGAACCCTCCCTCGGTCGCTGCGACGCATCTGTGCACAGGGTGCCCGTTCCCTTCTTCTCCTTTAAGTCACGGGGAAAGCGCCTCCCTCCCCGGAGATGAGGTCCCCGGGCTCTGTTCAGGCCATGGCCACGGCCAGCAGTGTTGACGCTGGGGGTTACGGTTCCCACGTTCTGAGAAGGGAGCAAACCAAATCCCCGCCTCTCACTGTGCCCCGCCCCTAACGCGGGTGACACATGGCTGTCCCTGCCCCTAACATGGGTGACACATGGCTGTCCCCGCCCCTAACGCAGGTGGCACATGGCTGTCCCCGCCCCTAATGCAGGTGACACACGCTGTCCCCGCCCCTAATGCAGGTGACACACGCTGTCCCCGCCCCTAACGCAGGTGGCACAAGCTGTCCCCGCCCCTAATGCAGGTGACACATGCTGTCCCCGCCCCTAACGCGGGTGACACACGCTGTCCCCGCCCCTAATGCAGGTGACACACGCTGTCCCCGCCCCTAACGCGGGTGACACACGCTGTCCCCGCCCCTAACGCGGGTGACACACGCTGTCCCCGCCCCTAACGCGGGTGACACACGCTGTCCCCGCCCCTAACGTGGGTGACACGGCCGTCGGCCTGACGCGGGTCTGACATGCTGAGAAGGTGCCGTTCACTGTCCACGTGCCCCTGGGAGCCATGTGGAGACCAGGCTGTGAGCTCAAGCGCCTCAAAGCTGAGATGTGGGTGAAGAAAGCGCAAAACCGGGAACAGGATCTTTGCCCTCAGAATAACTCGGGGGGCCCCCCAAGGGGTCCGAGGGGTGCTCACAGGGAACCGGGAGGCCCCTTGGAACAGTGAGTTCTTGTGTTTAAAAAGGAGGTGGATTCCTTCTGACAGGAAATGCTTAGTGGGAGGGTCACAGCACCAGAAACAACATGATTCTCCTGTGACACGTGCACACACACACACACACACACACACACACACGCACATCGCCAGACATGCACCCACATGTGCACACACGTCGCCACATGCACACGCATGTCGCCACAGAGCCGTGGGAGCAAGGGGAGCGCCTCCCGGCTGCCGGCTGCTGGAGAACACGCTGCACTTACCCCTTCCCTGCGCGCATTCGCTGTGTCGGAAGCTCTGCAGACTCCGTGTGTCCCTTGTCCAGGCAGGACACGGGGAGAAGGACACCGATCATGTCCCGTCTCTCTCTGCAGGTGTTCCTGGTGCGCAAGGCCGTGGGGCCGGACGCCGGGCAGCTGTATGCCATGAAGGTGCTGAAGAAGGCCACGCTGAAAGGTGGGGGCTCGGGGGGCCTCAGGGGGCTTGGAGGGCCTCAGGGGACTCAGAGGGTCTTGGGGGGCTCAGAGGGTCCCTGTGCTGCTCACGTCACATTCTGTGCAGTGCCACGTGGTTCAGGAGGGCGTCCCTAACGGAGGACACCAGACACGTGGCTCTGACCGATACACAGTGTGACACTTCCGAGTCTTCCATATCCCTCGTTCCCAGAGGAATGTCGCGTGGCATCACACCCTCCTTCACGCATGTCCGCGTGCACGCGTGGCAGAGCCTCGATTGGGGGCCGGCAGGTGGTCACGCTGCGTGTGGACAGCAGGTCGGCCTGAGTTCGTGAGGCGGGTCGCTCAGCTTCACACACACGTGGCCGCTTTGTGTCCCTTGGTTGTCACAGGGACGGGTTAGAAGCCCAGGCCCACGCCTGGTTCCCAGCCCCCCGTGTGCCCACCCGCCCCTGAGCACAGGTCTAGACGAGAGACGTGGACACGTGTGTCCCCACACACGCGTGCACGGGGTGTTCGTGCCCGCAGGTCCATTCTCACGGATGCCAGGAGTGGGAGAGCCGGTCACGCTCGCCGCTCGGTTTCCCAGGGTGCTGCCCGGTGTGCGGTCCTCACACGGCCCCACTGGGCGTGGCCCCGGGCGTGGCCGTCACACAGCGGGCAGTCAGCAGGGGGAGGACCTGGCCTACAGGGAGCAAGCCTACCCTGCGTCCGGCCGCCCCGGCCCTATCTGCGGGGGTTCGGCCAGAGTCTGCCCGGGCGTCTGCTCCCAGATCACGTCTCACATGGAAATGTTTCCCGGACGTGTTTCATCTGTGTCCCAGGATGGGCACCGCGGCCGGAGCCGGCCTTCTCTTGTTTTAAGTGCAATCACTTGGGGTGTTGATGGGGCTCCTGGCCCTTCGCGGTTGGTTTCGGTCATTGCGCACGTGCGTCGGCCTCTGGATGCCGACGTGCAGCTGCTCCGTAGCTCGGCCTGTCCCTTCCCGGTGCTGTGTCTTCGCTGACTTACTGGACAGGTTCCCAGCCTCCGGCCGCACCATCTCGGGGACCGTTGTGTGGCTCGATGCTCGTTAGCACTGAACTCCCTAGTGGACCTGGGTTTATGGGGGTGTGACTGTAGGGTGGACACAGACACTTGCTTTCCCACTGTGACTACAGCCCCTGGGCAGCTGGAATGTCCCCAGGCTCACGTGTCCCTGGTTTCCATTCACGATCAGGCGTGTGACTGAACAGGCTCATTACATTCCAAGCGGATCTGAGCGCGGTGACAAGGACATCCATCCCGCAGGGTTTCAGAGTCTCTTACCCGGCACCGAGGCCGCGCTCTGCAGGGAGACGGCGAGGGGTGCAGGAGCACATGTCCCCTCTGTCCACCCTGCCTCCCGGTCACGTCACGGGGCCAGGGCATGGGGGCTGGACAGGCCGATGGACGGGGACTTTCCCCAGAAGAGGACCCACCTTGGGTGACAGAAGACGGGTCGCAGGCTCGATCCCCGCCCCAGTCGGGGGGCGTGCGGGAGGCAACCAATCGATGTGACTCTCTCACATTGATGTTTCTCTCGGTCTCTCCCTTTTCCTTCCACTCTCTCTAAAAACCAATGGGAAAGTATCCTTGGGTGAAGATTAACAAAAGAGAGAGAGAGAGAGAGAGAGAGAGAGAGAGAGAGAGAGAGAGAGAACAAAGGAACAATGATGTGTGAACTTGCGAGCTTCCTAGGTCGGGAAAACCCGCTGTAAATGACATGGGGTTTGGGGAGGATATTCGGTGAGATGATGGCATGAGAGCTAGTGCCCTAGGGGTGGCCGTCCAGTTGGTTGTGTAGGAGATCGTCCTTATTCCCAGGAGGTGCTGGGCCTGGGGGTCATGGTGTCGGCCGGCAGGTGAGAGTCAGATTTCTGGCTAAAGTGTGTGTGTGTGTGTGTGTGTGTGTGTGTGTGTGTAGAGAGCGTGTGCACAAATACCAGCGATTGCGGGGCCTCCTGGTCATCATCCCCCTAGTTCCACTCTGTGCACGTGTGAATGCTTGTGACGAGGAGTTGGGGGTGACTCACGTCAGTGTGTGGTGCCGAGTCCCTGGGCCGGGCCTGCCTGTGTGAGCCCGTTTTCTGTCCGCAGTTCGGGACCGCGTCAGGTCGAAGATGGAGAGAGACATCTTGGCAGAGGTGAACCACCCCTTCATCGTGAAGCTGCACTACGGTAAATACGGTGAAAAATAAGATAAAGCCACTGCTCTGGGGACCGGGGACAGCGCCCCCAGACGGGGCACTGAGGAGGAGCCAGCGTCAGAGAGGGCCCCCGAGTCACCCTTCCCGCTCCGAGTCGCTCGGCACTCGTTTTCTCAAAAGGAGCAAGTGCCTTATTTTTCTCTCAAAGGCCGACTGTGAGGTGGCTATACATTATTACTCTTTAACTAGAGGCCTGGTGCACGGATTTGTGCACCTGGCCTGCACCCTCTCACAATCCAGGGGATGTCGGACTGCTGGTTTTGGCCCGATCCCCGCAGGCCAGGCCGAGGGACCCCACCGGTGCACAAATCCGTGCACTGGACCTCTAGGATGCATATAAGACCTTTGGTTAATCTCTTCCCGCCCTCCCCCCTTCCCCCTTTGCTCTGACATTCATCAGTCTTCCATGTTTCCATGCCTGTGGTTTCTGCTCTTGCATTGAGCGTCTGCCCCCTGGTGGTCAGTGCACATCATAGCTACTGGCTTTTATATATATATAGATTATTGTCATTGATTAAGTGGTTAAAAAAAGTCTCTTGGCGTTGAATGGGGCTGAACCGATGACATTTTTGTGTTGTTTTAAAATAAAGTGCTTTGTGACGCAGTAGTTTATGTAAAGCAGAGATGGTAACACGTCCTGCATTTTAAGTGGCTCCTGCTTCAAGCATTTTAAACTGCCCTGCAAAGCAGGTTATTATTTCCATTTTTCAGAAGACACAACTGAGGCTCAGATCAAATAATTTGCCCAACGCCACTTACCTGCTGGGCCACACACCTCCTGTCAGTTTTCTGCCTTTTGATCTCTTCTGACGGGGAATCGAACCGTGACCTCCTGGGTCATGTGTCGACGCTCAGACACCGAGCCCCACCGGCCGGACGGTCTCTCTTGGCCCTTGCATGCACGGTCAGCCCATTTGGCTGGGCACCCTGGCTAAGTGGTGGGCGGAGCTATGTCTGTGGCCCGTGACTGAGGCACAAGCAGTGCCCATAATCGTGGCGCTGTGATCAAACCCGGAGCGCCCGCACCACTGCCATGATGTCGAATAGCCACCCAGCTGGTCACTGCGCTGCCGTGAAGGAGGGGATCGGAGGGTGGGTGCCCTCGAGCCCCGAGCCGGGGAGAGTGCAATTCCATGGGAAGGAAAGGAGGCTCCACCCACCGTGGTCAGAGCATCGTCCCCACCTCTCTCCCCGCCCCCCACCCCCAGCAGAGAGAGACCCCTTGTCCCCCAGGCCCAGCCTGACTGTGGCAACAGCAGCCGCACAAGGACTGCAAGTGCCTTTGTCCCTGTGTCTCCCGGCCCCTTTGTGGTTAAAGCAGGAAGGGAGAAGGGAAGGGAGAGAGAATAGCCAGACCCTAAGAAGTGACAGAAGCAGGAGAGCTCCTAATATCGGCCCCTCCCCATGTCCTCCTGGCCACCGCTCCGCTGTTTGTGTAGTGACCCAGGTCACAGGGTCACGACACAGGATCCTTGGAGCCACAGAGACTGACCTGAGGGCACGGCCACCCCAGGGACCACGAGGGCCGGACTGCTGACCGCTCGCTCTCCCCTTCACAGCCTTCCAGACGGAGGGGAAGCTCTACCTGATCCTGGACTTCCTGCGCGGAGGGGACCTCTTCACCCGCCTCTCCAAGGAGGTAAGCCCGCCCACCCCCCCTTGGGGTCGCCGGTCGTGGTCGCCAGTCGTGGTCGCCGGTCGTGGTCGCCGGTCGTGGGCTGTCCCTTTCTGTCTGGGACTCAGGGACAGAGGGAGGGAGAGCCGGGGAAGGGGTGTGGGCTCTCTCCCTTCATTTCCTGGTGGTCTCTCGGGCAATGGCACAGTGACCTATGGGGCTGCTTGCGTATAATCCAAAGCCTGAGGCTGCAGAATCAGACCCAGTTCTGGCAAAAGCCCTCCTAGAGCAGCCGTCCTTCCCGCCTGGTGCCTGGTCCCTCCCGGGGCAGGTGTGTGGTCCCTCCTGGGGCAGGTGTGTGGTCCCTCCTGGGGCAGGTGTGTGGTTCCTCCTGGAACAGGTGTGTGGTCCCTCCTGGAGGAGGTGTGTGGTCCTTCCTGGAACAGGTGTGTGGTCCCTCCTGGAGGAGGTGTGTGGTCCCTCCTGGAACAGGTGTGTGGTCCCTCCTGGGGCAGGTGTGTGGTCCTTCCTGGAACAGGTGTGTGGTCCCTCCTGGAACAGGTGTGTGGTCCCTCCTGGAGGAGGTGTGTGGTCCCTCCTGGAGGAGGTGTGTGGTCCCTCCTGGGGCAGGTGTGTGGTCCCTCCTGGAGGAGGTGTGTGGTCCCTCCTGGAACAGGTGTGTGGTCCCTCCTGGGGCAGGTGTGTGGTCCCTCCTGGGGCAGGTGTGTGGTCCCTCCTGGAGGAGGTGTGTGGTCCCTCCTGGGACAGGTGTGTGGTCCCTCCTGGAGGAGGTGTGTGGTCCCTCCTGGAGGAGGTGTCTGGTCCCTTCTGTGGTGGTCACTGCAGAGCCTGCTGCAGTGGAGACGCTGTGTTTTGTCGTTGGCACCACGGGTGATGCCGGGAGAACTGGCCTAGCGGAGAAGTCTGTGCCCTCTGAGCACCTGCTCTATGTACAGGGTGGAGTCAGGTCAGGGGAGCTGGGCGGCCTCGGAGCTGCTGTGAGGAAGCCCATGAATGAGGTGACCGTTTAGGAAAGAATTGGGAGCTGGTGGAACACGGAAGGCAGAGTGGGAGATCCCAGAGGCTGGAGGGAGGGCGGCAGCACCAGGGTCCCCGCCAGGCTGTGGGCACGGTCCCTGTCCCACTGGGGGGCCCTGTGTGAAGTGAGGTGTTGGTCTGTGTGAGCCTGACAGTCACCTCCGGTCCCCGCGGCCGAACGCTGCGCCCTTGCTCATGCTGAGCACGCTGGGCTGATTTCGTGTCGCCCTCAGAGGGAGCTCTGGGCTCCGGTCGGGACTTTGATCTCGGGGTGAATGTGGACAGTGTTCCCCGCCCGCTCTGGCTCCCTGCCCAGCAGCCACGACAAGTACCTGCTGCTCTGACACCCTGGGGGACAGGGGAGTGTCCTGGCGGCCCGATGACCTTGACGTGTGTGATGTCCCGGCCTGAATCGGGTGCCCCGACACCCACGTGCCCCCTGTCCCCAGCTCGGGGTGCTCAGCTGCCCCCGCACCCCGGAGTGTCGTCCTGGGTGGACCCCGTCGCCCTCTGGGCAGGCAGCCGCCGCCAGTTTGCGTGAATCCGTGAGGGTGACCAAGGAGAGGGGGAGAAGCGTGCGCCAGGCGTGGTGTCAGAGCCCCTCGCCGCCTCGCGCTGGGCTGTGTTAAACCTCACGCGTTCACATCAGAAGCTCCTTTGAAATGTAAAGCCCGGGAGACTGGGAGCTGGTGACCTGCGGGCGAGGACCCGGGAGGAGGTCCAGGCGCCGATGGCGTCAGCTCTGTAGGCCTCGCTCTTCGCCTTCCCTGACCTGAAACTATAAATAGACCCGTTTCCACTGTGGGCGCCAGAGGCATCGCCTGGGGGGGTGCAGAGTGGGGGGCGGGGGAACCGTGTGCAGAGCAGGACCGGCCGGGTATGGACTCCGCGGGGCTGAGCCGGGTCCCCTTGGCAGAGCGTTGATAAACGGACCAGCTGCCAGCTGGGCTCGCCCTGCTCTCTGCTCGCAGGTGATGTTCACGGAGGAGGACGTCAAGTTCTACCTGGCGGAGCTGGCCCTGGCGCTGGACCACCTGCACGGCCTGGGCATCATCTACAGGGACCTGAAGCCTGAGAAGTGAGTGGGCCACGTGGGCGCAGGCCTCGCCCCTGCTTGCCAGCCCCCCTCCCCGCTCCCTGCAGCCCCGGCTCAGGGTTCAGGTTCCACGTGAGGTCACCCCAGGAGTGGGCGGGGCTTCCTCCTGCCGGCACCTCCCAGGCCGGGATCCAGGTGGGATGAGCAGTTCCACCCGCTGCCCTGGGCGGTGCCCGGACACAGTGGGGCTCACGCTGAGCTGCACCGGTTCCCGGCGCTCGGACCTGGTCCCGGGGAGGCCGGCGGAGCCCAGGGCCGTGGCCGCAGGTCAGGTGGGCAGGCGGGTGGCACACCCTCACCCGCTGGTCCCACACCCCCTGCTGGCCTCTGTCGTCACCGCCAGCACAACACGCGTCGCTGCTGCAGGTGTGACTAGCCGGTCACGCCATCGCCAGGCCCTGCCTGCGTGTCCCACGGCGGGAGCAGCGTCCCGTGACCTCGGCGCCCCTCCGCTAGCGAGTGCAGCCGGGGGGTCCCGGCCGGGAGCCCCGAGCCCTGCTCTCGCTCTTTACAGGCCGAAGGGATCTTTATAGTTAGAAAGATCATACATCGTGGCGGGGCCGCAGGAGGAAAGATGTCAGTGAGGACTAGGGAGGGTTCATGGCGAAAGCTGCTCCTTTCTGGGCCAAGATTAGGTGTCACCGAAAAGCAAAGATGGAAACACAGGAAGGGGTCCTCTTAGTTATGCACGGGCAGCGGGCAGCTCCCGCACGGAGACTGCGCACGGGCGGCCTGGGGGTCCCTGGGTGCCGTGCCCCCCACGTGCCTACCTGCCGGGCGCTGACAGAGCCTCTGCTGTCCCCTCAGCATCCTCCTGGACGAAGAGGGCCACATCAAGGTCACAGGTGAGTGAGCGCCGGCCCTCGAGACCTCCCCCGGCCCTGAGAATCTCCCACAGCGGGAGAGGGCGAGGGAGGTGAAGAGAGGATGTTTCTATCTCTCTCTCCCTCCTCTCTCCTCCTCCTCCCTGCCCTCTCCTCCCTCCTCCCTCCTCTTCCCTCCTCGCTCCTTCCTCCTCTTCCCTCCTCCCTCCTTTCCCTCCCAGCAAACCCCGCCTGCCCGTCTGGTCAGTGGCCCCGTGCTGTCAGGCCCTCTGCTGGCCCGTGTGGGCGGTTAGAAATCAGGTCTCCTGGGGACTTCATGGTTGTCACTGAGAAGTACAATTTCTTTTTAAAAACATATATATTTTATTGATTTCAGAGAGAGGAAGGGAGAGGGAGAGAGATAGAAACATCAATGATGAGAGAGAATCACTGATCGGCTGCCTCCTGCACACCCCACACTGGGGAACGAGCCTGCACCCTGGCCCTGTGCCCTGACCAGGAATTGAACCGTGACCTCCTGGTTCATAGGTCGACGCTCAACCACTGAGCCACGCCGGCCGGCAGAAGTACAATTTCTTGACACCTTCCAGGGCTCCTGAATCTGTGGCTTCTGAAGACGGTTGCCCGGGGAGCACCTGTGGGTGGGGTGGTGCTGGCGTCCACGGGGGTTGAGTTGCGCAGACAGAGTGGGTGGGGCCGTGATGCCCAGTGGACAGAATTCACAGAAATGCCACGGAAGCCTCGGCTGGGCCTCCGAGACTGAGAAGGGCCGTGGCTGTTTCCCTAGACTTCGGGCTGAGCAAGGAGGCCATCGACCACGACACGCGCGCCTACTCCTTCTGCGGGACCATCGAGTACATGGCGCCCGAGGTGGTGAACCGGCGGGGCCACACACAGAGCGCCGACTGGTGGTCCTTCGGCGTGCTCATGGTGAGGGCTGTGCTCGTGGTGAGGGCGGTGTGCTCATGGTGAGGGCGGTGCTCATGGTGAGGGCGGTGCTCATGGTGAGGGCGGTGCTCATGGTGAGGGCTGTGTGCTCATGGTGAGGGCGGTGCTCATGGTGAGGGCGGTGCTCATGGTGAGGGCGGGTGCTCATGGTGAGGGCTGTGGGCTCATGGTGAGGGCGGTGCTCATGGTGAGGGCTGTGTGATCATGGTGAGGGCGGTGCTCATGGTGAGGGCTGTGTGCTCATGGTGAGGGCGGTGCTCATGGTGAGGGCGGGTGCTCATGGTGAGGGCTGTGGGCTCATGGTGAGGGCGGTGCTCATGGTGAGGGCTGTGGGCTCATGGTGAGGGCTGTGCTCATGGTGAGGGCGGTGCTGGTGGTGAGGGCGGTGCTCATGGTGAGGGCTGTGTGCTCATGGTGAGGGCTGTGTGCTCATGGTGAGGGCGGTGCTCATGGTGAGGGCTGTGTGCTCATGGTGAGGGCGGTGCTCATGGTGAGGGCGGGTGCTCATGGTGAGGGCGGTGCTCATGGTGAGGGCTGTGTGCTCATGGTGAGGGCGGTGCTCATGGTGCGGGCGGTGCTCATGGTGAGGGCGGGTGCTCATGGTGAGGGCGGGTGCTCATGGTGAGGGCGGTGCTCATGGTGAGGGCTGTGTGCTCATGGTGAG